TATAAATTCTAGTCATCCTTCTGTCAATGCACCGAGTCTGTGAGGAAGCGGTGCGCGGCGCAGTGCTGTTCGGCGACTGATATTTTTTTAAAATATGTTTATTACAATAACATCAAATCTATCAAAGTATGCTCAAAGGAACACAATTCCAAAACGAGCTTAATTTTGCACAAACATTCTCTTCACGCAGTTGATCGTTCAAATATGATTTCCCTAGAAAATCAAAAGAAACGCCCCTGTGTGCAATATCGGTTTTCATCGTGTTTGTTAACGCGTCACGTGACTACCCAAACAAAGGATCCTCGTTGGCCATTGGAACCAAGCCAAGTCTCAGTTTGATCGCATTTTCGACGGAGTCGAGTTGGTGTGCCAATCCAGAATTGTTTTAAAACGCCAACGACGGTTGAAATTGTCTATATGATTTATTATTTTTCTGGTCAAGACAAATCATTTTCGTTCGTTTTTTCACAGTCCCTGGTTTGTTTTTGTAGTCTAGGTAATTGGGGTTTGCCTCCCGTTTTGGCAATTGCATCATATTCTCGAATCTTCCAATAATTCTTGTTGGAACCATGCCAAGCCGAATTTAGCACAGGCTAAACAAACACGTACGACGAGTGAGTTCCGTACATGTGTCTAGACTCTCTTTAACTATTATTTTAAAATCCAGTGAATTTATTTTTTGTATCAAAATGAGCTAGTACTAATGGGCAGTATTAGAATTCCGTTTTTCACTGAGTCACTGTATTAACAATTAAAAATCCCCTATATTTGTTTTTTGACAGTTTTCGTCACAGCCTTGGTCTCTGGACCATAAAAGCCGAGTTGGAACCGTGCCAGACAGAGGGGTTAACACAAGTTCAACATCCATGATTTAAAAAGTACGTGTCTAGACATCGATGAATTATGTGTCTAGACTTATTTTCAGTAAGAATCCCATTCCATCAGTGGTGTAACGTAAGGTCCAGATAACAGGGGGGATCGTCGGTCAAAGGACGACTCAGTTGTTAACATTAAATCGATTGTACAAGTGGGGGGTGGGGGGTATCGGCTATTCGCGGCCACCTGTGGAATTGTCAGTCGACCCCCGTGCTGTTTGGATGTGTACGCGTGTGTCGACGTGCGTGCGTGTAACGTAATGCTGTCATAAAAAAATATATCACATTGTTACCCGTGTTCGGTTGACAATAATTTTTAAAGTGGGATCTCGTAACTATAACACGATATCCCGAATATCTCATATTGTGATAACTTAAGATCTCCCATCAAGTTATTTAAGTATCCTCAATGGGCTTCATATTTTTGTGATTGCATGCATGAATAGGAACTCTATATACATGTAACATTTTTCTGAATGTATTTTTTCCTCGTCAACGAAATTGTGGGCGGAAGTTTCGAAAACAACTGTTCACTAGGGAATACAATAGCCACAGGGGCCATTTAGACTGCGAAGGAAACAACGGCTTTGCAATCGGAATGTTATGATACGTACGTCCGTCGCCTGTACACAGAGTTGGGTATTTGGTAATCCGTTCTTGCTTGTTTGCAGACACGACCATAAGCGAAGGGACTTCTGTTTTGGTCGTGCGAATGCAAACATGGGTTGTGTTTATACCATGATACAGGAATATAAATAATAACTATTGATATATTTACATAAAACGATTACTACAAATCGTGGAACAAATGTAATTTTGTTTAATATTAAAGCGAATGTTTTATTTTATCAGATATACGTGTCACAAGTTTTTACCAACATTTTGATTGACCGCTATATCTAATCAACGATATAATAGTGGCATATGGTTTAACGTGCCGATCCACTGTTCTGTTTTCGTGCCACATTTTAGTCCTGGATCTACGGCGTTGTCAGAGTGGGCGTGATTGAAATGTTGCCGTTGACTGCCCACATAGACACCGCCATGAGTCTGGTTTACTAGCAAAATAAAGTAGATTTGCACTGTTTTGGATCAAACAGATAAACCAAACCAAAACAATAATTAACAGAAACCCGATCTATCCAAATTTCACGCAATTTGATTAAATTGTCGTGTACTACAGGTAATCGATGTTAGTGTACACATTCGCATTCTGTTTATTGTGCCTGGACGCGTCCACCTCATTTTGCTGTGGCATATTTCCATGTCGGTGTTTGACCGAGCAGCCGTCAAAAAAATCAAAGAAAGCTTAGAAAGAACTCCCATGTGCTGAGAGTATTGGAAACACATTAAATATAATTCGAAATTACTTAGCTGAAAACTAATTATGCAAATCAGAAAATTAATATGACCAGATTTGAGTCTAAAACTAATGAGGTCTGCACAATGTAACAGAAAATCTATGTCTCCAAGTTTAATTGAAATGTGATTAGAACCAAAAAATTATGAATTATTATGCTTATTAGGGAATTAATATGAACAGATTTTTACCCCAAACTAATTAGTTTGTACATTGTCCTAGAGCATCTTTGTACTAAGTTTCATTGAAATGGAATAATTAGTACCGTGAAAACTCCAAAATTTCGACCCCCTCTAAAAATTCGGCCGCTTATTTATT